TTAGAGGTCTGAGAGGCTGCTCTCACCATTACTTGTCACTTAAAGGGATAAATATAGATGCATTTATATCTGAGGGAGAGTATCTTCTTTCCCCTTCCCATTTGGTCTTACTGAAATCCCTCTGACTGCAATTGATAGCTGTTTCATCTCATTTCTGATAAACTTGGAGCAAGATCAGTCTGGTGGTTAATAGCATGGCTTTTATGATACATACGCGTGAATAAGAAATTCAAAACCATATCTTCCGGCTCAAACACAAAAGACTCTTGTTTTTGAAAAATTACATTTGCAGTGGCACAAGATGGGCATGTTAGAGAATCAAAAGGTGAGACTGTATACCTGAAAAGGCATATATGTAAATTCTTAGGGGGTGTGTGTGTGCACGAGCGTGTGTATGTACATAGAGAAATGTTTTAGGGTGTGCTGCATCCAGAGAGGAAGTGAAAGCATGACCGGCTGGCTGTGCCTCCCTTCTTGAGGGCCCTTAGGAAGGGTATGTGCTATTTGTAAGCCCTTTGCTGAACTCTTCCTTCTTCTGTTTGTGGATCTTGTGGAAGCCTCTGAGGAGGGCAGACTGTTTTGGCAATGTTCTTCATTGTTATCCTTAAAAGAAGGCAAGATTCTTTTGGGCTCGGGCCCTTGTCAACAGATCCCCTGGAAGGCAACAGTTTATCCACAGCAAGTAAGTGACCAGAGCTCTTTCCTTCCAGAGATGAGAAGAACCAGTCCATCATAGTCAGCGGGGAGTCTGGAGCCGGCAAGACTGTGTCAGCCAAGTACGCCATGCGCTATTTTGCCACGGTTGGTGGCTCAGCCAGTGACACCAACATTGAAGAGAAGGTCCTGGCATCCAGTCCCATCATGGAGGTAAAGCCTTTCCAAATGTATTTGGCTTTTCTGGCTGGAGTTGCTTCCTCTGGCAGCAAGACTGCTGGGTGTCCAGCCTTATGTGGTTGCCCACAAGAATCCTTAGAAAGCGGTGCATGTGCCCACATTCGTGTTTCCCCTGAGAGTCCATTGTCTACAACTGAGGAAAAAATTCTAAAGGTGTCCCTAAGACCACGGAATTGGGAGTACTCTAACCTGGTAGTGCCTTTCAAGTCCCTAGTATAGAGTGGAGTGTCCTTTTCCTGTCCTCCTTGTCCCTTGACTCCGCTGGATGCTCTAGTGAATGTCCCTCCATTCTACCTTCCCCTCTGCTGCTGGTCCTCTCCCCTCCTGCCATCATGTGTTAGCAAATCTGCATTTCACCTGAACCATCCAATGCTTGAAGGCCTGCTGGATCAGGAGGGCAATTTGCTTGGGCAGGGGTGGGAGGACTATGTAGAAGATTCCTTTTTTCTCCTAAAAACATTTGGACATTTTATTTTATTTGGGGGTTGAGGGGAAGGGTGGGACCAAAAGCTATGCGGTGACACAGAATCTATTGATCCTCAGCAGTTACCAATGATGGCATGAACTGGCCAGCTTGGGTTCTGTCTGGATCTTGACTCCTCACCCCCAGCCTCAGAGCAGTCACTACAAGTACAAGGCCAGAGAGATTTGCTAAAACTTAGATCCTGCTGTAACTCATCATGTTTTAGGGTCACAGCTCCATTTCTCTCTTTATTTCCTCCATAAAAACTTAATTCTGATAAAGTAGATCTAAATGGGCACGCAGTTTCTGGCCAGCTTTGGTTTCCTGCCTCTGAAATGGAGGCTCTTGATTATTGTCTAGGTTACAGTCTGATAGGAATTGGGCCCCTGCCAGTTTGGGGCAGCTCCTTTGTTTTAGGAAAAATTCATTTGAGACTGAAAGCTGCCAAAATAGCATCAGATTTCTCTGCAGTGCCTTGAGCCCCATCGATTAAGAGCCAAGTCACCAAGATGATTGGTCTCTCAGATTCTTTTGGAGCTGGAGGAAACAAGAACCTACCTGGACCTTCCCAGATCCCCCCCCCCCCCCCCCCCCCCCCCCCCGCCTCTTCCTTTACCAAGTGCTGGAATAAATTCTGAGTCTCAGTTCATAGGAATTCGTGGCTTTTACAGGCATAGTCTCCTGACTACACAGTTGGATTATCTTGTAGAACTTGCATTCTCTGTCTACTGACAGGACACAATATATTCATTAACAATTCAACAAAAGCCAGTTTCCATACTGTTCTTATATGGATTGGGAAATGGTCAATACAGTTGGAGGCATTTTTATTAAACAGATGTAAACAGGAAAACTTTTATTCTGTTAAAATGGTTCTTAAACGTGACTGCATCAGAATCACCTGGAGGGTTTGTTAAATGAGATTGCTGGATTCACCCACAGTGTTTCTGATTCAGAAGGTCTGGGGTAGGGGTCCCAAAACTTGCCTTTCTATTAAGTTCTTAGGTGATGATGATTCTGATGGTCTGAGTACCACAGTTTGAGAACCATTGGCCTATGAAAAAGGTAAGGGCTCACTGGAAAATATGGACGAGTAAAAGGAAATAAGTCCCTGCCTAACCCTACAGCTTGCTGAGGATTGTTCAACATTTGGGTCTGTTTCCTTTCAATTGTTTCACTGAGTATTGCAGTCATAAACCTTATCCCCCATATCATTGAGCTTTTTTATGAACTGCCTTATTGGCTGCAAACATACTAATATTGTTGGACATTCAACTCGTTGATAGCCTGTTTGCTCATAGCATTTATTCTAAGCCCAAGATGGTGGCCTGGCCATGGCTTCCATTCAGAATGTGGTGGACCATGGCTTCGGCCTACCCTGGACCATCCATCTGTGCACCTATGAATTGAGGTAGCTAAGATTGTAATCTACAGTTAACATCATGTTTCATCTCAAATGGGAGTGAAACCAGGCTTTCGGCCTTTCCTTCGCCCCTGAGTTTCAAATCTCAGTGCATTTTTAAGGTAGTAAGTTTTCAAAGCTACAGAATGCTGCCTCTTTTGGAAGCAGTATATAGTTCTTCTAGGCAAAACAGAGAAGGGAAGTTCTCTCTGGTGACTGAACAAAGTAATTTTAGTCGAGATGATAATTTAATGAAGGTAGATCACCACATTAAACGTGTTCAAGACAAGATTTTTTAAACTTGTTTTATGGTAGTTAAACGTACATAAAATATACCATTTCAATTATTTTACATGAACAATTGAATTAAGGACATGCACAGTGTTATGCAACTGTCACCATCATCCACTTCCGGAGCTTTTTCATCATCCCAATTTGTTTTTTTTCATCCTTTTTTTATTTATATGAAAAAAAAAAAAAAAATATTTATATGAAATTTATTGTCAAATTGGTTTCCATACAACACCCAGTGCTCATCAAAGGTGCCCCTCAATACCCATCACCCACCCTCTCCTCCCTCCCACCCTCCCATCAACCCTTAGTTTGTTCTCAGTTCTCAACAGTCTCTTATGCTTTGGTTCTCTCCCACTCTAACCCTAACTTTTTTTTTTTTTTTTTTTTTTTTCCTTCCCCTCCCCCATGGGTTCCTGTTAAGTTTCTCAGGATCCACCTAAGAGTGAAACCATATGGTATCTGTCTTTCTCTGTATGGCTTATTTCACTTAGCATCACACTCTCCAGTTCCATCCACGTTGCTACAAAGGCCATATTTCATTTTTTCATTGCCATGTATTCCAGTGATGCATTGTGTATATAAACCACAATTTCTTTTTTATCCATTCATCAGTTGATGGACATTTAGGCTCTTTCCATAAATTATTGTTGAGTGCTGCTATGAACATTAAGGCCAGTGCCCCTATGCATCAGTACTCCTGTGTCCCTTGGATAAATTCCTAGCAGTTGCTATTGCTGGGTCATAGGGTAGGTCTATTTTAATTTTCTGAGGAACCTCACTGCTTTCCAGAAATGCTGCACCAATTTGCCTTCCACCAACAGTGCAGAGGGTTCCCGTTTCTCCACATCCTCTCCAGCATCTATAGTCTGATTTGTTCATTTTGGCCACTCTGACTGGCGTGAGGTGATACCTGAGTGTGGTTTTGATTTGTATTTCCCTGATAAGGAGCCGACGGAACATCTTTTCATGCACTGTTGGCCATCGGATGTCTTTAGAGAAGTGTCTATTCATGTTTTCTGCCCGTCACTGGGTTATTTGCCTTTTCAGTGTGGAGTTTGGTGAGCTCTTTATAGATTTTGGATACTAGCCCTTTGTCCGATATGTCATTTGCAAATATCTTTTCCCATTCCGTTTGGTTGCCTTTAGTTTTGTTGGTTGTTTCCTTTGTTGCAGTTTTTTATCTTCATAAGGTCCCAGTAATTCACTTTTGCTTTTAATTCCCTTGCCTTTGGGGATTCATCATCCCAATTTGTACTTGTTAAAGAACAACTCCCTGTTCTGCTTTCCAGCCCCCAGACCCTAGTAACCTCTATTCTACTTTCTGTGTCTATGAATTTGCCTGTTTTAGGTACCTCTTATAAGTGGAATCACACAACATTTGTTCTTTTGTGTCTGACCTATTTCACCTAATGTTTTCCAAGTGTATCCATGTTGTAGAATGTAGGAGTATGTCTTTGCTTTTTATGGTTGGATGACATTTTGCTGTGTGGGTATGCTGTATTTTGTTAATTCATTCCTCTGTTGATGAATCATTGGGTTTTCACCTTTTGGCCAGTGTGAATAATGCCACTGGACAGTAGCATGCAGGCATCGGAGTTCCTATTTGGGGAATGTTTTTTTAAATTATAGTAATCTAAAAAGATCTAACATTTCAATATCTATTATGTCCTGAATGGGCTGGGGATTCAGGGTACTCTGGCATGGGAGAAATGTGAGAACAACACACACTCCCCAAAACACACAATGTGGTTCACTTGCTAAAGTCTAAAGGGGAATGTACACACAAAGCAGCCTCCTCATGCACGATGTCACATAACTAAATGCTACAGTGGTTTGGATGCGCAATGTTAAATTTCTGCCTTGTGCAAATTGGTACTTTGGAAACCATCTGGGTAATTCCTTAGGGCTCAGTCTGTCAAACTACAGAACGTGGTCATTTTAGAGACTGTCCCTTGACCTTTAAGTGTTACATTTGAGAGAAATCTTGGCTATAAATGTGGAAAGGAAGAGTCCCAGCCAGGAAAGAACTCTGGGTGGGTTAGGAAGTGTTGTTGAGCAGAGAAAGCAGCTTCTACGGTGCTAAAACCTAACTTTTCATGACTTTGGAGTCTAGCTGGGTCCTTGTGTCAGGAAGCCCAGTCAGTTTTGTGGCTCCTCTGAGGGTTATAGGCAACACAAGTTTGTCCTAATCAGGAGACAGCTGATGACTGACGACTCTGCCCCTGTCCCAGCTCAGGACGGCACCTCCTGGCTGAGCAATCAGTTATGCTCCTCGATCATCTCATTATTTCTGCACCCTGGCAACTGCAGCCGCCTCCTGGGGAGACAGAGTTGAGGACAATCTGAGACAGTGGAATCCCCAGCCTGCTGCGCTAAGTGGCAGTTGTTTGAATTAAAGGCGACTCGAGGGTGGATTGGGATGATTTACTCTCCGCGCCAGAGCTCTCTGCCCCCACTCTGTGTAAGAGCTTGCCAGCATCCCGGCAGCGATTTGCTCACAAGTCTGCACTGATTAAAAGGATATTGGTAATCAGGAGACTGTTAGAGCAGGGACAGAACCAAGTCCAGACCAGATGCATCATGTAGCTTCTTGGGATGACCAGAGTCTGCATGCACACAAGTCCAGGGGCCAGAGGCTCCCCCATCCTGGGAGGAAGGGGGGCGAGGGGTACAATGAGCACACACAATATAAACTAAGACCACTTACTATGTAATTTGGCGAATTTGACTTTTTTTAAGCTCAAGAAACAAGGCCTACAACTATTAACCTATTCATATGAGAGTCTGCACCAAAAATAACTTCGCTCTTGTCTCATGTCAACACACACTGGCCATCCCACACTCTCAGGTGCCCTGTGCCTTTGCCCACACCATATCCATCACTAGAACGCCCTCCCTCCCTGCTATCAGATTCTACTCACCCTTGAAGACCCTCAATTTACACTCCTTAAAGCCATTCCAATTGTGCTGGGAATGGCTAATAGCTCCCTTCCCTGTGCTTCCACACTATGGGTATGTCTCTCATATTGTATAATCCTAATCCTACTGAAGTTATTCTGGGCCATTTGGTCTCACTACATCTTTGCATATGCATAAACAATGAAGAAGGTGGTCCTCTTATGTCCTATGTGAATGGTAGTGTATTCTGTCATTTTTGCAACTTTTTCCACTCAACATCTTTTAAATTTATCCATGAATCATGCTCTAGCTTACTTTTACTAGCTTTATAGTGTCCCATTGTGTGAACACACTACACTTTATCTGTTCCCCTACTCGTGTGCATTTAGGATGGATTTCTTTTTTTGTTAAATACAACCTGCCTAGAACATTCTTGTGCTTACCCACGTGTACACTTGGGTATTTTTCCAGGTGCTACTTAAAGATAGAGTTGCCTGTTAGGTGTGTGTATATTCAATTTTACTAGATAGGTCCAGTTACTTTTCAGGATGGTTGTTCCTGTTTCCATGTGAGCCGGCAACGTAGGAGAGTTCCTTTGTCCTCACACCCTCCTCATTCTGTAATGTCAGAGTTCTTTGCTGTGGCCCCTCTGGGCTGCTGTTTTAATCTACAGTTCTTTGATGACCACTGAGGTTGTCTTTTCTTAGGTTTATTGGTCACATGAGTTTTGTGTTTTGCGTGTGTGTGTGTGAGAATTTCCTGCTGTAGCATGGTTCATTTTCCAGATTTTAACCACTTGCATCATTTTTTGCTTTTTTTTGTTGTTTTTGGTCTGTGAGACTCGAGGTTAAAACCTGTTTTTCTGTTATCTATGATAACAGAACTTGTTTTCCTTATGCATCAAGAATCAAGTGAGATCTTTACACACAAGTTGGGAGTCCTTCCTACCTCGGTTGAGTTTATGGGTTGGCGGTAATAAATAACCTTTTTGTGGGTGACGTTACATACTTTTGAAAGTACTTACAGGTGTATCATTTCTCAAAACAGCCCTCGTGAGGTGAGAAGGATAGATCTTTTGACGGTGATTGTTAGGCCCTGGGCAAACACTCCCTAGGCCGTTACAGGGGGTGGTCTCAGGTAGGGTAGAGGCTCTTGTTGCTGCTTTACAAATCATGAAATTTGAATATTTTGAAATTTTGAAATGGAAACGTATTTATGGAAACAAGGTTATCTTTTGGAATTTTCCACAAACTGGACTTTGCTAATTGTATCCTCATGATGTTGGTAATATGTTCCCTTTCTCCCCTATGTTTCCTGTAAAAGGGCAGTAAAATTCAGAGACTTGATTAAATTGAGGCTGGATTATTGGTGCACATTTGGGACAGAACACTCGGTGTACTTGGATGGTGAATTGGATATGTAGGGTGCAGGCACTCTTGGACTGAATAGCTTCCTTAGTGCAAGCTAGGCTCTTTGGTTTCTGCAGGTGAATGGTTGCGTGCCTGAAGGTCTCACTTGCTCACCTCAAAAATAGGAATGGAACGTTTCCAAGAGCATTTATTAATGTGATCTTTTAAAAATTTTTTAATGTTTATTTTTGAGAGATGGAGCAAGAGTGGGGAGGGTGGGGTAGAGAGAGAGGGAGACACAGAATCCAAAGCAGGCTTTAGGCTCTGAGCTGTCAGCACAGAGCCCTACACTGGGCTCGAACCCATGAACTCTGCGGTCATGACCTGAGCCAGAGTTGGATGCTCAACTGACTGAGCCACCCAGGTGCCCCTCTTATTGTAATCTTTTACACAGTGATTTGCTTTCAGCTGTGTTGTTTGCCTTGTTAATAACAGATGCCAGCTAAGCCTTGTGTAGTTTTAGGATGTCCAGAGATCCCGGTAGTTTGGTAACTTGGATTTGGCTGAGAAGGGGTAGAGGGTGGAATGGGATTTTACGTTTTTTTCAACCTCTGTGTGCCACAAATTTTCTCGACAACTGAAAACATATAGTGGATATTTTTCAACCATGTAAGAATGTAAACATGTGAGAGGGACTAAAATATTAATATATTCATTACCAATTTATTAGCAATGTGATGTTTTATAGAAAGTGAATAATCATGCCAGGTTATTTAGCTGCTCACCTTGTAAATTATCCTCTAGGGGCATCTGGGTGGCTCAGTTGGTTAAGCATCCAACTCTTGGTTTCAGCTCAGGTCATGATCTCACAGTTCGTGGGTTCGAGCCCTGCATTGGGCTCCATGCTGACAGTGTGGAGCCTGCTTGGGATCTCTCTCTCTCTCTCTCTCTCTCTCTCTCTCTCTCTCACACAATAAATAAACAAACGTTAAATGTAAATAAATGTCTGCTGTTTTGAATGGTGCCCCTACAGCTGCATAAGAAATGGTACCAAGAGGGTGATGTCTTCCTGATTTGATCTAGTGATGAGGTGCAGAGATGTTGGTTGATCTTTGGTCTCTTTCTTGGAAATATAGTTTATCAGTTTGGAATGACATTTGACTGCTTTGTCATGGAGGTCTGATCAGAGCACACTAAGGTTTGTGTGTTTCAAAACAATTCAGAGCTCTTGGATACTGGCTTTGGTTTAATAGCTCAAGTAGTGCTCAGAATGGTGCTCTCGGTGATTCTCTAGACCTTTCCTTCATGTAGCCATCATATGCACATTCCAGGTAGGATAACTTGACAGAGTTCACCAATCCAGTCCTTACTCTCACTGGCCATTCTTAGGAGTAAAGGAGGCAGGAAATGAACTTTTGTTTTTAGCTCAGCTCATTGTCATCCCAATGGTAGGGGAAGCCCTGTAAGGAAGTGTGTGTGGGGGGGGGGGGGGGGGGGGGGAGGGAGATGCTGCCACAGACCTACAACCTTGAGGTCAAGAAAGCTTTCCTGGTTTTGCATTCCTTCTGTTTGTTCTGTGCAGGCCATTGGAAATGCTAAAACCACTCGCAATGACAACAGCAGCCGTTTTGGGAAGTACATTCAGATTGGCTTTGATAAAAGGTACCACATCATTGGGGCCAACATGAGGACCTACCTGTTGGAGAAGTCCAGAGTGGTCTTTCAGGTGAGTGGTGGGACGTGGGCTTCTTTGTACTTTCTCCCATGAATGACGTTTACTTGCCCCCTCATCTGCCTCCTGTGCCCAGAGAGCACCTCCTCTTTTGGAAGTGGAATTGAATACGCTTGTTCTTGTGGTTTTCTTTCCTTTCATCAAAAAGGGTTTGTTCGAATGCTATGGTTGTCTACCCAGTATTGTTTTGAAGTGGGTATTGTTTTCAGTTTCAGTCAACAAACCTAATGAGTGCCTGTTACATGCTAGATACCAGAGACAGGTGAAGAATAAGATGGTCCTGTTCTTTGTGGGTTGTAATCTTAGGATTAGAGGATTGTTGTACGGGGTCTCTGGGCTTCAGCGCTCCCCAGGAACCTTACTTTGTAGGTTATATTTTTAAAAACGCAAAAAACACTACTTGGACATGCACCTAGCCCAAAAACTGTCCTCCTCCAGCCCCCTTTCAGTGGTCCCATACTTGAACTGGGATGGTGTGTGTCCTGGTCCGAGCCAGCCACACCCTCTTCCCACCCTGACCCTCGGCAGAGGGGACATCCAAAACAGCCTCAGCTGTTTCTCAGAGATGCCTGTCTACATGCTGACGCTTAACAAACATCTAATGATTTTTTTTTTAACTAGTTTTATTAATGTTTTCCCTTTGTTCAGGCTTTCTCTCCACCTCCCAAATTTTGGTTCAATAGCCCCGTATCCTTATCTCACTGCAGCAAAGTAAACAGCCTACTGTGCTGGGTACAGGTCTGATCTGGCTGTGACTCTGTCCAGACTCTTCTCTGAACAGTCCTTGAACCTCCTTATTCCTTTGCTCAGGCCTCCTGAAGCTCCCCCCACCGCCACCAGCCTGCCAACTTAATTCAGGTGTAGCCTGAGTGTCTGCTCTAAGTCCTGTCTCTGTCTTGGACTTGATGTGACTGCCCCAGCCTGTCATGCTGGGCAAGGGCATAGCTCTGACTTAGTCCCAAGCCTCCCAGGGGAGAATGGGAGTCTACTGCAGGCAAGTTACGATCTGTGCAACATGAGCCAGGCAACACGGATATCTGAGCAAGTGTGTGTTGTCTGACCATTCCACTATTTGCGAAAGAGCAGTGATGTTCTATGTGGGAGAAAAAATACATGAGAGGTAAAAATCTTGAAGCTTCAAGAAGGCCCCATAATAGTGAAAGAGAAGTCCGGGGGTGGGAAGTGAAGGTGGCAGAGGGTGTGGAGGAAAACCTGAGCAGAAGTCCTGACCTCTGTCATGTGACCTCCGAACCCTGGGATTAGAACAAGTGATGAGGGGACGATCTTGGGGGTCACTGCCCTAAACCTGTTTAACTTTTTCCCTCCTTCAGGCAGATGACGAGCGGAATTACCACATCTTTTACCAGCTCTGTGCTGCCGCCAGTCTCCCGGAATTTAAGGAGCTTGCACTGAGTACGTAACGTGCGTGTGTCTGTCCTCGGGTGGGCTGCTGCAGCACCAGGTGCTACATCTAGAGGCGCGGACTGGAGGAAGGGTGCTCTGCTCAAAGCCCTCCGTTGTGGGTTCTTGTCCCAGCTCTGCCTCTACGTGGGCTCGTCTCCCCAGACCTCTTTGAGCATCAGTACTCGATCCATAAAATTGGGCTAATTGCACCCAGGTTGCCTGCCACAGAAAACATTTGAGAGGATCAGAGGCAGGGGGCAGAACAGTATCTTGCAGAACACAAAATATTTTCCATGCATTGTTTTGAAAAACGTTTCCACTTTAAACTTTGCAAAAAGTGTGTCCCCACCGTGAGGATCTAGAGATTTAGCTAAGGCACATCGTGTAATTGAGCTAGTGAGTTTTAGGTCCCTTTCAAGGATGGAGATGAAGAAAAGGAGGGAGGGAGAGGCTGGATCAGGATGAAGATGGACGGCTGGATGGCACAGGATATGATGGCGTTGGGCTGCGGCGACTCTGGTTTCTTCTGAGCAGGTGGGACGCTGTGGCACCCATGCACGGGAGCTTGGAGCATCGCAGAGTGACACGGAGTGACTAAAAGCGCCTCTCCACTGAGTCTCACCTGGCTGTTGCCATGAGATAAAAAGAACCGTTTGCCTGGAGGCTGTTGACCTGGAGCTAGGGCAAAGCAAGAGGAGTGAGCAGGCTTTAGTTCGAGATGCCACCAACGGAGGGCCTAGGCTTGGGGCCTGGAGCCTGGGGCTTTCCCCCTTCCGAGCCCTGGGACTTTGTAAGGAATATTGATGGACTCCAGGCTGGAGTCCTCAAAGCCATCTCCTGACAGATGCGTGTGACCTAGGCAAGCCCGGGGGCCGTGCAGCATCCTGTGTGTGCCAGGTGTCCTGTCTCTGGTCTCTTGGGTGTCTTTTAGGTGAGGGTCAGGTTCAGTAGTAGCAGATGGCGTGACGACGAGCTGGGTGTCTAGACAGAGGCCGGTTGGTCTTTGTGCAACTGTGAGAGAAATAGACTGCTGGGGCTTTGCTGTTCGTGACCCAAATCCTAGCGGTCTTGAGGGCCCAACACCAGATCCCCCTCTGACAGCTCCAGCCTGTGCTCCTAGTAGCTAAAACACACCAAGTGGTTCAAACCTCAGTCTGCGCTCGTAACTCTGCCTCACTTATGAGCTTCTGCAGCATTTGGTACATGGGCACGCAGTTTAGCCTTGGGTCCTTCATTTGTTCATCGAACCCTATGAAGGTGGTGGTGGGTACTGCGGGTGTAGTGCTGAGCATAACCGTTGTGGGCCCTGCCCTTGCTTAGCTTACAGTCAGTTACAGTGCAGAGAGAGAAGGGTATGCTGAGTGAAGCGTAGCGGAGATGGGTCAGAAGGTTCCCCAGGGAAGTAAATTGAGAACCAAAGTGGGAAGCCCAGGATGGCATATATTATGCTGGCTTTCTGCTATACTCTAGTCAGTGTTTACAAATCTGAATCTCCCCCACTGAAGCTATCAACTCCTTGAGGACAAGGAGGGACCGGTACAAGCCTTGTTTGATGAGCACCTCCCTGAGCTGGCACCTTGGGCTCTGATGTTGGCTTATGGCCACAAGTGACCAGTAATGTAGGCCATGCTAAGGGCTTTTGTCCCCCCACCTCTTTCCTTCCCAAAGTGGGGACATGAGCCCAGCTAGACTTCTCAGAGCCAGCCTGCAGGGGATCAAAACTTTTTTAAAGGTCATTTTTGTAGAAAAATAAACAAGTTCTGGCGAGATCCTTTGTATTTGGACCATTGTATCCCAAATGTAACTTTAAGGAAATAGGAAAAAAAAAAATCCTAATTTTTTTTTTGCACTTATGCAAGTGCACTGAATTAAAAAACAAAAAATAGCTTTTCCATATTCTTTCTCTTGGCCTCTTCCTTGGGCCTCTGACTGGAGCAGTTGAAAACTACCCAATTCGATCCATTTCTTGCACTGTTCTACCTATGTGTGCCCTCCAAGAACATGTGGAAGGAAGCTGAGAGGTGTCGAGCTCTTGTGCTCAGGGGTGCGGCTGTGTTCGGCCTCGTGGGTGCATTGGCTGTGAGCTCTGAAGCTTGACGTTTAGTTCTGCTGATAACCCTGGCTGAGTGGCTGGAAACCTGAAGTAAATGAGGGACTGGCCAGTGGTTCCTAGTAGATATTTAGACTGCCTCACCTCCTTCTCCCTTTTCTTCACCTAAAACATGCTACTCAAGTATACAGATGTCTCTGCAAGACCCCTGGCCCAGCAAGAGTTTTGTGCATTTGTCTGAGCACGGGGGAGCAGATTTGCAGCCATTTGTCTGTATTTCCCTCTGCCCTACCCTATTGTTGGTGGCCTGTTGCATTAAAATGACCTCAGGATGAAATTTAAAGAAAAGTACTCCAATAAGTGTCTGCAGTGTGAATAAATGATGGTAAAAAAGAGGTATAATGGGCTTATATTTCCTTAAATATAGCCCTTAGGTAATGAGGAATAAATTCTTTTCCACTTGTATCAATAGTTTTATAAAAAGCCTCTCTTGCACAGTTAGAACATAGTCTCCCAGGTGAAGTGCTAGCCCTCGGTCGTGGCCCCTGATGGTCGGTCCACTGCTCTAATCACTGGGCTCATACTTCCTCAGTGGTCTAAACACTGACCCGGCATCTGCCTGTTGAGCCAGTTACTAGGGGGCTTTGTGGTATATTTCTCCTTAGAAATGCTGAGTAGAGAGAGAGCCAAACTGGAGGATAAGAGACGTTGCTCAGGTGAGATGGTCAGTGATGACTTCATAGGCTGGAAAGGAGAGCCAGGATCCAAGGTGGCTAAGCAGATGGCAGAGAACCTTCTGCTGTTGGGATGTCTCTTACAAGGGTCTGGAGTGTGATGGGGACACAGGCGATTGCAAACCTAAAAGCTGATAATCTTGATTGGATTCAAATCATTTAGTAGAGTGAGCTGTGACTGACCCAGGGAACCCCTGCAGTGATGAGCCTGAGCCAGAGGAGGTTCCCCTGGTGGGCCTGAGTTTGGGAACTGGCAGCAGGGAAGGTGGGGGGTCTGACTCAGAACATCAGGTCGTAGGCCCTGGTTGTTGACCATGAAGGGTCTTGGTAGATGTTGAAAACTCCTCCTTTCCTCCAGCAGAGAGGTCTGGTGCCTTCCTTTGGAGTCTCAGGTGCCTGTTTTTCTGGTGTGTCAGCTGATAACTTTTGACAACGAGTTAGGTTGTGTTTGACAAAACCATGTCATAAACAACCCTCTCCACAATAGGGTGACCAAGTAGTGGGCTATCCCAGGCCTGGCCAAAGTCTGGGGGAGTCTGAGTGATCCCTTCAAGCCTTATGTCCCTCAGTTTGCCTGTCTGAAAAATAGGAATAAATATGTGCAATCATCTTCATGTGGGCCCTGCCAAAATCATCAAAGGAGGTACTTTGAAAGGTGAGTGAAAAGGAAAAATGAACGGATGCTTTTCACAAGCCTTGGAAACTATTGTGTCCTGTGCTAGAGCTTGTGAGGTGATTAGATATAAGAGAGGTGAGTTTGGCACCTTCCAAAGAGACCTTCCTTCCTAACAGTTCGCCTTTGCTGTGGCTGTCAGTGAGCCCGGGGCTCAAGTCCTTCCTCTCCCAGCTCAAGTGCCTCTAGTCCTCAAAGTGTGTTTGGGCTACTCCCCCGGGAAGCCTTCTGTCATAAGCTAGGACTGATACTCGGCGCCCCATCCCTGTGGGCAGTGCGGGTCCTGGCTCGGGCTGTGTGGGCAGGGCTTGGGTCTGGCTTCTGCCACTTCCTCGCTGGGCCTGGCAATGTGCACTTACCCAGCAAGTGTGGCTTGGAGCAGAGGGTGCAAGGTGGGGAATGGAAGACACCAGAAAGGAGAGGTAGGCGGGGCCCCTGTGGGCCTGGACCGAGAGTAGAGCTGAGGAATGACAGGAAGCCGGTGGATCTGAGACCAGAGATGTGGAGGCAGCCCTGAGTCCGGAGGGGAAGGAGGAGGAACCTGCAGCTGCTTCACAAAAGACCCTTGAGGTCCTTTCAGGGTGCTTGACCCCTGTTTTGGGGGCATAGGGGTAGGGAGGGGGTCTCTAAAGGGCTTTAGATAGGGTTGCGGTGTGATCAGAGTTACCAGCAATTTGAAAGTGGACTCGAAAGGACAGGAGAAGGAAGGAGACTGGGTTAGTCTTTGGCAACAGTCCCCAGACAGCAGGTGCTGAAGGTCAGACCCCGGCGATGACAGGGGGAGCAAGGAAAGAGACTCAAATTCTTACGGGATCAAACAGGCAGATCAAGGTGTTGAAGGAGGACCGGGAATCACAATGAAATGGCCTCTATGCATGTTTAACTGATGAGTGCTCAAATGGTACGAACTCAGATCAAGGTGAAGTAATTGGGTCTTTACAGGAGAAGAGGAACACCAGCCAGTGTCCAGCTTTGGCATCTTGTCAAACGTACATTTAGAAATTCTAAACACTGGTCAGGATGGTATTCCACAAAGGTACTGTATTTTCTGGAAAATGTGATTTTCTGAAGTAATTCTGATGAGGTGCCCTTGTTACCCTAAATGCCGACTTCCCAGCCTATTGTGCAGCTACTACCCAGGGCTTGTTGCATTTTTGCCCCCCTTCTGGGGTTGGCTGTGACTCCTAAGGCAGAACTGAGACCCCTCCTTGCCACTTGTCCCCCAGGCTGTTATCAGAGGCCTGACTGAGGAGGAATTGAACTGGAGGTGAGAGCAAAACACAAAACAAGGGTCTCAACTCGCTTCTGTTCACCTGTCTGAAGAACTCGGGTGCCCAACTTGGTAGAACAACTGAGCAAAAAAACCCGGTGAATCCTGTAAATTGAACTACCTGTGACTATCTCATTCACTGTTTTTCACATGCTGGTTTTATACAAACACGACAGTGCGTTCGGTCAGCATGGTGTAACGTTCTGTGTTTCCTTATCCAGTTTTCTCTCCATTTGCCATTGTCAATAAAGGTGATACCTTAAAGGGTTCCACGTGCGGCTGGGAGTAAAACTTCACCTGGGATGAGTAGAAATCCTCTTGGGTCGTGATCATGGGTAAACCGGGATGCCTTTCCTCCTCTCCTCCCACAGCATGCGCGGAGGACTTCTTCTATACCTCACAGGGAAGAGACACGTGTATCGAGGGTGTCGATGATGCCGAGGACTTTGAGAAGACGCGGCAAGCCTTCACACTTCTCGGTGAGCAGCTTCTGAGAGGGAACGGGCCCAGAGGATTGACTTCGTGGAGAGTAGAAAAGCCTGACAGTGTCCCGCTTGGCCAACCTTCATAAGCCGATAGGGAAACCCTGTTGCCCTCAGTGAATGTCCTCCCACTCTTACTCCATCCCAACCCTCGGTTCCGAAGTTTAAGAACAGCTTTGTTGATATGTCTTAAAAATCAGGGATTGTGAGTTGCTCTCTCAGGCACTGCAAGATAGCCCTTTTCGCTTCCTCAGGCCATCAAAGCCAGTGGAGGAAAATGAAAAAGAGCTACATCCTCCTGTGCTGTGGTCTGGGTTTAGAGGCCATGTGTTCTGGCAGAAAGAGCATGTCTTTTGGACCAAATCACCCATGTACCTCAGTCATGGGATCTGAGTTGGAAACAGACTATATAAAGGTCTGGTGGCACCCTCATAACACAGTGTCACTTCTGTTGTCACTGTTTCTGTACTTCAAGATTTCTGTGTCTTTATGGGCATAAAGGGCCATAGAGAGAGAAAATTCCTCTCCCTTGCCCTTTCTTAACTGGGAAATTGAGTCAAGTCCTGGGACCTGCAGCCAGAAGAAAACAAAGTTTGGCAAAGCAGCCTGTAATTCATGAAGTTGCTCAGGATGGGCCTTGTGTTTTTCCCCAGCCCCTTCTGACAGAGGTAGACATTTGGCTTGTGAGTCATGTGACTACTCCAGAGCAGCGTTTCTTAGGTTCTTTGGTGGGAATCTGGCAAGTCTTACCCAATGTCTAAATAAAACATGGCCAACCAGGACTTGCCCTAAGGTCGATATGGGTAGAGCCCTCAGTGCTGTTCACTTCTCTGGGTAACCAGTGGGTAGACACAGTTTGTCTTTGGTACCCGTGAAATAATCGGGACATAAAAGCCACACTGGTTATTCCAACAGTTGATGATTATTAAGATTATTAAAAGTATAAGAGGATTTTAGGGGTACAGAAATAGCAGGTGCAAAAGAATCGCTGCTCCCTTTAGGGCAAGGAAGAACAGCTACTACAGGAACTGTTGTTGCCTGGCTGAGATGTCAGTCCGTGGTTACCACAAGATGGGGTGAAGAAACTTGCCGGAGGGTGTGGCCATTGCTGGTCGGTCTGCACAGGGAGCCTGCAGGTGCCCCAGGGTGTGGTGAAGCCAGAAGGTCTCAGAAGCAGCTGCTAATGGGGAGACCGTGGCTTGCAGGCATCGCAGCGGCTCATCTGGGGAGGTTGCCGTGCTGCCGGGATGAATGATAACTGTAGCGGACCGGAACCAAGAACAGGCCTGTCTCCTTGCTGCTCTTGCATCACTGAGTCACTACAGTGCTCTTTGACCAAGCTGGACATTCCACCATGGGCAAAGGGGAAATGTTGACAGGGTCTAGCTCCAGTATCACAAAGTGGGACAGATTTGAAACAGGTAATAAATTGATAAGTGGCACCCCTGAGCTCTCCCACACCCCATCACCATTGTAGTCTTCAGCTGGGAAGCCGGTTTGGAGGGGACTTGATGCTCAGCAGGGTAACATTCTGCCCAGTTTGTCAGGAGGAGGCCCCTGGCGGCTGCCCCTGTATTGCTACTGTGAGCAGTGGGCACGCACCGATGGGGGGAGAAGTTGGTTCCCTCCAGGGCCTCTAAGAAACCTGGGTACTTGTGTTCACAAAGCAAAAGGCATTTGCAAATCTATTGTAATAAGCCTTTCTTCTTTACTCTTCAATAAACTTGTCTACTTTTTTACTCTGGGGTTGACAAACTTTGTTAAAAACAGGATTATAGATATTACTTGGGGCCCTTTGAGTCACGTGGTTTTTGGAGCAGCTATTCAACTTTGCTGCTGTAGTGTGAAAGTGGCCAGAGACACAACGTAAATGAATGGGCGTGACTGTTCTAATAAAACTTTATTTACAAAAACACACTGTGGGCTATAGGTCATAGGTTGCCAACCCCTTTTACTCCTTCAGTTTTATTGTTTGGTTTTTGTTTACTAGTGCAGGAATCCTAACTATTGTTAGGATTTAATAGTCATTTGATATCTACTACTTACATTCCTACCATGACAGGGTGGTGAAGGCTTTGGAAATTGACAAAGCAGCGGTTCTTAAGGATAAGTGAAGGAGAGAGAAAAGCGATCTGTCCTTAATGTCCGCTTAAGGTCCAAATGCCCACTTCCTGACTAGTACTTCCAAGAGGACTTACTTGAGAGCAGGACACTCTGAGCTCTGATCCAAAGCCTAGTACAAGCCTCCTGTCTTGGGTAACAATCTCCGGCCTTTAACCTATCTTATTTTCTTCAGTCTTAATCAGTTACAGTAAATTCTTTGGCCTCGAGCTCTTTGTTTCTTAATTAGATTAAATGAAACTAGATATTTGAATGGCTCCTGCATTTCTGTAGACCTTTGGGAATACTGGCAGTCTGTGTAACAGCTATCAGTTCACTTCCATTATTCATGTTCCTGAGCCACCCGTGTGCCAAGGCAAGAACAGGGATTCATTATATTGCTATTTCTTTGTATATTTTAAAACTTCATATTAAAAAATTAAAAAATAAACCCCTGCCCCTGTGAAGCTTAAACAGCAATGGTCATCTCTCATTAATAAAGTCTAGGATCCATTTGTCCAGTTCATGCTTGGGTTGTCCACTTTGTGGATGGTTTTTAATCCTAGTGGGTGACATCTTTACTGTCCACTTATATTGGTGTCATTTTTTTTTTTTTTTTTGGCCTGAGTAAAGTATTGCCTTAAAAATTGCAGCTGGAGAGAAATATGGGAGACCACTGTATTATTTCTTAAACTGTGGGGTAGGTTGACTAGTGTTCTGTTACTCTGTATCCTGTTTTTTTATAGGTCTGATTTTGTATTCAAAAATAAATGATAACGCCTTAAATCTAAAGATAAATTTTAAGAGATCATGTATGTCTTTGATAACTTAGGTACTCAAATGCGGCATCAGGTGTTTGCTGCCACAGCGGCTGCAGGTTCCGTGTGTCTGTAACTGAAGGAGCATGGAGCACGGCCCCAGCTGAGAGCCAGCTGGCTGTCCAGCTCCAACAACAGCACTCCCAGAAGTTTCTCCTCTTCCTCTCCTGTTGGCACTTGGGATGTGGGACACAGATGTTTGCTGGATATTGCGTTTGGAGAGAAGTGACTACAGATAAATGGCCATTGTTATTAAACTCATGAAAACGTCCATAAAGTATTTGGTCGAGATGAAGACGAAAATGAGTCTGTGTGATTGCTGTCTCTCCTTTGCTCTTAGAGAAGTTAAATGGTAGCATAACCCATCTGGTTTGAACAAGACAATCAGAGTGAGGATATTTCCCTTTTAGCCCAGGGAGCCCCTTTGCCCTCTGAGCTGTTACTATGAGCGGTAATTACTTGGTGAGGAGCCTGGATCATTTTAGGAAGCCCAGGAAGGAAAATCAAGGAAAAAAAAATTTTTTAAGTCCTTAAAAAAAGGGTAAAATGTCCTTTCTATCCTACCATGGATGTTAAGTGTCATTCATTCTTCTTTTTTTCAGGAGTGAGAGAGTCCCATCAGATAAGCATTTTTAAGATAATTGCTTCTATCCTGCACCTTGGAAATGTGGAGATTCAGGCTGAGCGTGATGGTGATTCCTGTAGTATATCAGTAAGTTGCACACCAGCACCCAAGATAAAACATACACAATTTACTCTGCTCTTACAGTTTTATACAACTGAAATGTGTTTTTATGCTCAGAGGACACTCAGAGGTTATTCATTCTTAACAATAATGGCTTCTGTTCTTACTGATAATTTTTTATTTTTATTTCTTTTTTTAATTTTTTTTTCAACGTTTTTATTTATTTTGGGGACAGAGAGAGACAGAGCATGAACGGGGGAGGGGCAGAGAGAGAGGGAGACACAGAATCGGAAACAGGCTCCAGGCTCCGAGCCATCAGCCCAGAGCCTGACACGGGGCTCGAACTCACGGACCGCGAGATCGTGACCTGGCTGAAGTTGGATGCTTAACTGACTGTGCCACCCAGGCACCTCTTACTGATAATTTTTTAAAAGAACACATCCTTTTCAAATCAGTTGCCATCAAATTTCTGTCACCGAGGGGAGGGAATTTAGGGGCTATTAAATACTTTTTTTTTATGGATTGCTTTTGCAAGTACACTGAGGTCCATGGAATTCTACAGAGTGTTACCAATCCATGAGTACTTTCTGAACTCCTGACTAAGGTCCATGCAGCAAAGAGATGGACATCATGGACATCATGTTGGACATCAGGAAGGAGATGAAAGACTGTCTCCAAGGAGCTTACAATCTAATTGGGCGGACAAAAGATAACCACGCTTAGCAAGATTTGACAGTATGCAGAATATTGAGACATCTATGCGAAAGTATTATAAACTGAATTACTCCAAAAATGCTCATAGTGACTGTTATTTTCCTGGTGCCCAATGTAGCACCAGATATGTGCTACATAAAAAAAAATGTCTGGGTGGGTGTTGGAGTGGGTACCAGTGCGGTCCTAGAGACAGCAGCTGGGGTGTGCTCTCTGGTATTTAGGTCAGTCTAGTCTCTCCTCTTAATAAGTGAATCTGCAACTGTTGATTATAGACCTTTCCTTGGCCCCTTAGTGGCTAAGTCTTGGGGAGATGCAAAGTATAATTCTTGTTCCCAAGGATGTAGAGTTTAGAAACCTGGACTTGGGAAAAGACAGAAGACAATACCATAGAATACAAACGTGGGCATGTGTCCATGCCACTCACACCTGATGCTTTTTCAGTTGAATGAATATTTATTTCCTGCTGTTTGCTTGGAGTTAGGGCTTATCAGAAGTTGAAATTGGCCCTGTCCTTAGAGGAAGACCTGAACTGTAGTTGGCATCTGGCATCCCCTCCCCACTGCCCCATACGTTTTCCCTGACAGAGAAATGGTCTTGGGGGTGGGAGGTCTCCTGGGCCCATCAAGGCTGCCACCATCCTTAGCATGGAATCTGCCACCTAGTGAGAGCTTTGAGGCTCATGCACCTGGGCTCAGTTTGAAAGGAGGGAACGTTGGAGCTTGAGCAGTGTCAGGTGACCGTTGGGGTGTCACTGTGACATTGGGGTGTGTATGTTGGGTGGGTGGGCAGTGAGGTTGGCAGCGATGGTGCTGTGAGAGCACCTGGGTGATGCAAGGAGGCCCTGTGCCTTGGCAGTGTGGGGAATGAGCCCCCAGTGTGAGCCAAGCACTCCCCGAGACTGAGGCCTTCAGGCCAGTGAAC